TTTCCTACATCTCTAGTGACCCACTTTTAAACGCTTCTAGATATCTGTCACTTCTAAGAACTTATAGGCCTCCTAGCCTCATGAGCATAGCAAAAAGAACGGAACATAAGCGTTAGTTTCGATAATACTAATCCTACACACAAGACAAAATGATCACTCTTTTGGGCTTCAAATCGGCGTAAACTTACCGAACAAGCCAATACACTATTTTTCACTGTCGCGTACTATCCTAATGTTTTGAGTCGTGGACTATAAACGTGGCCTAACGGCTGGGTTCACAAGAGTTGCGGCTCATGCTTATACGCCTAGTGTATAGTATGTGCTCATGAATAACTTTTTTGCTCGTTTTCGTTGACGCCTTCTCTGTTGCAAGACCTCTGAATTGAATATTTATTAAATTTAGAACTTCCACTGTCGAGGCTTCACTCGAGGGACAGAAAACCTGTCGTACGAGTGACACCATCAAAGGGAAGACCCAGCGATGATGATGCGGCTGTGTAGTTGGCCGCAGGTTCAGGATGAGTCCATACCCCGCTGGCTTCTTGTGTACTACCTGATAAGACTGTTCGTCAAAAACAGGAGCCATTTCAGCTAAACCGTCTACACAGTCACATCGCCGTCTGGGTGCTCCAACCGTTCAGTGGAAGCGCAATACTGCATAAATATGTTAGTAGCTAAATTGTGAGGAATACCCGCATAAAGGCAATGCTCTGAGAAGCGATTTCAACGAAATGCAATAGGCTACATCGTATAAATACAACGAAAATACAGAAGTATGTTGGATGGCTTTGACACGAAATATGGACACAATGATATGAGAAATGCTGTTGGAGAAGTGCCTATTGATCGAAGCTCCGCAACACGTTCTTATTCAGGGGCGGAAAAACCAAGAGCGATGGCTGATCCGACCCTGAGGGGCTGTACACATCCAGGGGTAAAAGTGGGAACACTGAGCAGTTCTGAGCAGTAAAATAATACATACACAGCGAGTGTGGCTCCATCGACCGGTATCAAACAGCTGTATAGAAGGATTCCTTTTTCGTTTCCTCGCTCTTTTTTCTCCCGTCTTTTCGTTCAATTGATGTACATCGATTGTACGTGGACATCGTTGTAGTGCGCTCTGAACCAAAGAAATTAATTATCAGCATGCGAAATATGATTCATGAAAGATTCATGAGTGTGGTGTGTTGAAAACAATGATCACAATGGCCGGAGGCGGTGCATGTGGGTAACATCATAGAGCGTGCACTAGATCGTCTAGATCACTAGATCTAGCGCGCTTGGGGTGCCTGGCACCGTCGCTTTACCCCTTGCACTAACTTTCAGTGACATCATCAAAACCGCCCGCTCTCTTGCTACCTTAATCACTGCCTTTAAGTTCACCCGGGCTGTCACGCGACAAATCGCGGAATGAACTGCGCGCCAGTTCCAGTCTATTGTGATTTGTTTTGCTGAGCCTAGAATGAAGACTAAACCCTGTTCACTTCGATCTGTACCTCCAAAAACAACATCTCAAACCCTTTTTTTTGTAAAATATGCATTAAAGCAATACCTCCATGATTTTCTGAGCCGAAGGGGTGAAGAGCAGACCTTGAAGGCTCCAACGTTAACGGAGTAAGCCGTATTTTTGTCGATCCTTGCTTTATTCAGAAAGATTGGAGCCCGCGATGAAATGTCAGATGTTCAAAAATCCCATCCTAGACTCTTGGCCGTCTGTCAGCCCGGAGGAGTCTGTTATATAAATCTTCGAGTTATCAAACGTGCGCCAAGCAGCCGTTTTATGATGGTTTTGAACAAGGAATTGATCAACACGGAGACTGCGCGAGGCTTTCGGTACTTTTAACCAGTCATCTCATTCAACTAAAACTCCCAGATAACTGCGGCGAAAACTTGCAATGTTGCTGGAGGGCAGATTTTTTCAGTTCAATTTCCCCTCCTTTCCTGCTATCCCCACCTCAGATAGAAGGTCTGGGACATCAAGGCATATGCGGCGATTCGCAGTGAAGATTCTTTCACCCTTACACCTTGATAATGCCTGATTATTACAGTTTAGCAAAGCGTTTAATGTATTGAAAGGAAATTTTTCCGCATAACCATGTGTTTGACTGACTTCAGCAAGAGCAAATGTAATGAGGGCCCGTGTGTTCTTGCTAAAAAAAGAGACTTCTAGAGCGCCTTGGATCACTTACGTTTTTGATTGAGAGCGCCTTTCCCGTGGAATAAACTGCGGAACGCGCCACGAAAGCGGGCTGACATCAGATTGTAGAGAATTGGGTTGATTGCACAATTGATGAAGATCATCGTCTTTGAGAAGAAGATATACCTAAAAAGATGGTAGATTGAGTGAGCTTAGCTCCGGTGTGTTCTTCTGCATGTCTTCGATGGCGTTTCAATTTTTAATTCGAATGAACTTTTTATTGCTATAAAACTGAGCTTTCAGGATCATTCAGCCTGAGGCGAGTAGTATGGTAAGACACTCCACGACATGGGCTTTCAAAGGAATTTCTAAAAAGTAGTATAAGCGTGAAAGGAAAGACGATGAGGCGTTCGTTTCCCATCAGTCCATTTTGGGTTGCACCACGCACTCTAATTCCACTCAGAATCGTACATAGTTACTTTCAGCCGCGACTTGGTCTAGATAATGACTCGCGGTGTTAGCCAATATGCAAAACAGTATTCTATCCTCCCACACAAGTTCGGATTCAGAACTGGGCGGAAGTGGTGTAGTGGCAAGTGGCACGCTTACCACGCGAGCGGTCCGGGATCAAATCCTGGGTCGTGAGTCGCCCGGGCCAACCAAGCCTTCCATCCCTCCGGGGTCGGTTAATTGGTACCAGACTTGTCTGGGAGGATAAAAACACTGACTTGTACATCGGCTGGCCCCCGCAAGTCATTGTATAGGCCACATCGCATTCAAACGCCACTACGAATGTACAAATGGAAGTAGAATGCGTGCCGCATCCCAAAAAGGGATTGATCAACGGCAAATGCTTTATCCTTTATCCTTTTATTCAGAACTCCGTAGAACAAAAATAGAGCACGAAAAAAAAGAAAAGAGGAAAAACGGAAGTGCTGAATACTGAGATTTGAAACATTTTTCCATCGCCTCGATCTAGTAACCGGTTATAATTTTTTAGGCTAATTTCAATTCCAAAACTCGACATTTCAATCTTTCGATTTTGTGCGTATGTAGCGCAGCCTATCAAGAAAAAGTTTGTAATAAAGAAACAAACCCGTCTGAGTTCCATTTTTCGTCCCGAAATGAGTTGTTCACCACCATGGCTCGATACGGTAACCAGCAGGTAGCGAACACAAACACCACCAGAGCCAACATTTTCACTACCTGAAAATTGCGTGGTTTCCCAAAGCAGTTGTTTTTTTTGAATTGAAAAACAATAATTTGGAATAAACAATTCAATAAAACGACACCTGATTTCGTCCTTTTGACGAGCTCCGCCGGCCAGTGATATGACTCTCCTTCGCTTCCGTCATCACCGGTGTTGACAGGAGGCTGCCCGTTTGGGCAACTAAACGAGAAAATCTTGGAAACATTTTTTTATTCATTCAATAAATAAATTTGCATTTACATTTATTAGCTCGAATTTACACCTCGGATTTCCTTTGTCTGCTTAATTATGCATTTTCTTTTGATATACCCCCCTTAGAAAACATTAACATCTCCCCAAAATTGCCTTCGTTGAGGTTTGTGTTGTGATTTCTCGAATTTAATTCTCCTTTTTTAACTTCATTTCCCTATCCGCGTGCGATTTCCTTTCTTAACCATCTGAACCGAATTGCAGACGTCAAAAGAGAGGGACTCTGTGAAGAGTTTCAGAGACGACACCTCGCCGTTCTCTGTGCGGAAAATTACTTCGAAATTTTGCCAAGTTTTTGGGGATTTCGAGATCACATGGCATTCCCCGGAAAATCATTGAGTTCTACTTTTAGAAGTTCTTAGGTCTTCCTCCTAGTCCTCCTATAACCACAGGTTTTTGGCTTCTTTACATATCGTGATTTGCAGTTAGTTTTTATCACTTTTTCGTGGTAAATGATTTATCAAGAACTCGTAACAGACTGAATCACCTGACTCCTTGCCCTTCATTTTCTCGCCACACTGACTGAGAACGATGGCAATCTTGGCATATATCACAATATTCAGGAACATTGGAATTACGTAGAAACCAACCAAATCACCCACGTACATCACCTAAATAAAAACTCTTCACTCAGATATATTCTGTATGCTGGAATGATAATTGCAGTTCAGAGAACGGTCTCGTCGAAAACAGAAATCAAACAAATAATCTATTCCTGGGGAAAGCCGTAGAAGACCCTTATGGTTAGTGAGCATAGCTCAATCTGGGATTTGACTTTGAAACTCTTCGGACCAACTAATCACCGTGAAGTGGGAAACCCATCAATGCTCTACCTATTCGATCGGTGAGTTGGTGAGGGACATAAGGAGAAACGCTGAGCGAGAGTAGTCATTTTCGTTGCCTACAAAGTAATGAAAAACCCAGCATTGACTGCAATTAAGGGCATTGAGAGAGTCAAACGACGGCCTGACTCCATGTATACACTTGGCGCAAAGGGCACACCAGAGGCCGCGGTGCCTGACGGGGATCGGTCCCCAAACTTCGCACCTCGAGACGCGTCCTCTAATCCTTGGCCGTCGATGTGCATCATCAACCGGAGTATACAAGACAGAGTTCTGGGGACCCATCAGCCAGGTACAGCTGTACACGGCCCCTTATGCCAAATGCTCCGCAGCTTTCGGGACATAAGAGTGAATTTTTGCGCTTTTCCCGCTACTCCTATGAGGACTGTCGTGAATAAGGCTTGTGTGTGCAAGATATAATCGTCAGAAGTAAAGAAAATCCCACAAAAAACAGTGGGTTTGAAGGAAGTTCCCCCCAGTTCCCTATTCCCCTCCTTCAAGAAACACGGACCCAACAACAGTCGTCCAGGTAATTTTAACAGCATATAAAGTTCTCATGATTGCCACAACCAACCTTATATTTCCAGTCCTCTCTGCCCATTTTGAAGTCGCAATAGCCACCTTCTTCATCGATAATCAGACCAGACAGGAAAAGCCATGGAAAGTTGTAGATGAAAGAAAACACCCAGATGCCGCAGATGATCATCTTCGCTCTTTTCACCGTGCATATTGTTCTGAAGGAAAATCAATTAGCGCCCATTATTTCACCTTTACATCTGCTCATACATCTATTCATTTGAAGGTTATGAAGTCGATATCGCATCTGAAAGCCAAGACACAGCTGAAAGGAGCTTTGGAGCTCGTAGCATTGAAGGGCAGAAGAAAACTCAAAAAGAGAAAGTTCGGACCAGAATTTGCGTTTTCAAAAGTCTAAAGATCTCAGGGCGGAAGTGGTGTAGTGGCAAGTGGCACGCTTACCACGCGAGCGGTCCGGGATCAAATCCTGGGTCGTGAGTCGCCCGGGCCAACCAAGCCTTCCATCCCTCCGGGGTCGGTTAATTGGTACCAGACTTGTCTGGGAGGATAAAAACACTGACTTGTACATCGGCTGGCCCCCGCAAGTCATTGTATAGGCCACATCGCATTCAAACGCCACTACGAATGTACAAATGGAAGTGCGTGCCGCATCCCAAAAAGGGATTGATCAACGGCAAATGCTTTATCCTTTTTTAGCTTTAAATGAGCTCAGGGACTTTACACACCTCTTTTTTCATTAGCAACTTGAGCAAAATAAGCATAAAGCAAATTACAAGCAAACAACGAGCAATAGAAACAACACGAACCTGGCCCAAAACGGGTGACAGATACCGATGAAGCGCTCGACGGTGAACGCTGTGATGGAGAGCGCCGACGAGTTGATGGCCAAATATGGTAAATAGGTGAACAACGAACAACCTTAATCGTTATTATACAATAAAATCACAAGAAAAACGTTCGCATAATAAAGATTTCGAAAGATAATTATCCATTAAATTTATGTTTTTTTCCTGTTTTTTTAAAATCACCTATGGCACTGCATTCCAGGGCAATCTGAGTAAGCCTTGTCTGCTCCACGGCTACAGGCAATTCTACTCCTAATAAGTAAGCTAATACTTCAAACGTGCCACTGTATGGACCCATGAGGCAATAAGTAGCGATCTAGTAGGACCAATAAAATATGATCGACGGAACTGCCATCTAGGGAGCAGGGTACGCTGTCCGTTTTGTCAAGTCCAACGACGTGAGTCATATTTGTGGTTGCCGGGGATGTATTAGGGGCTGGAGGGCGCGGAGAAGAAGGATCGTAAGGACTGTAATGTGAGAGATGTGAAGAATTTCCTGGTTTACTGTTCCAAAAGTCACAATTCTTTCCGCAGTTTCGGAATTTTGGGGCGGGTTGGACTGTGTCAAGTGTAGCATTTCAAAAAATCATCGATCGTTAGTGAGGGCGGTCGTATAGGGAACTCCTTCAGGGGTCGAATCAAGCCACGCAACGTGGCCCTCTTCTTTCTCTATAAGAAATGCAGGAAGAACAGTTTTAAATCGATTGTAATAAGTGAAACTTGACCTCAACTGCGAAACGGGATTACGGTAAATGTACGGGAAATGATACTTGGATCCGATAATAAATAAAGTTTTGAAATAAGTAAGAAGGTAGATAAAAGTAATAGTAAAAGTACTGGGAAAAACAAAACCAACATAGTGACCCAAATGGGTAGTCTTTCGTGAAAAGGGACGAGAGCTCTGTTGGAGTGGTAGCAATGAAGAATAGAGTATCACTTAGCGCCAATGACACCAAGTAGTAGTTGGTTGGAGTTTTCTGAAATATTTGTGTTTAAAATATAATATTATTACCATAATCATGAAGAATGGCACACTTTAAAAAAACTGAAGATTGATTATTGATCAAAAGTTAAGAAGCAACAGCTTAGGATGTCGTAGTCGACAGTTATAGGCACCTCTCTCCACACCTACCCCTACAAGTATCAGGTCTTCTGTGATAGGAGAAAAGTTTCGCTTCACGATTACCACCACCCCCCCCCCCCCTCCACCCTTCCTCCGTTATTCATATTCCGAACTTCTAAAAACTGTTGTCTCAAAGCACGCGCATGAATTTCTTTTTGAACTTTGGGGATGATTGCTGTTGTGCTTTGTTGACCTTTTACGAGCTTTGTTGTCATGAAACTTTCCTAAGTATGTTGTTTTCCCGGTCTTCATTACCCGAATAGTTGAGAATCCGATTACGTTCTCATTTCCTTCTCGACCTCTTGTGTTCCCGTAACGAAAAACATTTAAGCCTATTAACCAGCTTGCCGTTCGCAGTCAGTAAAGGATCAAAAATTAATGACTAAGTTGAAGTTGTTGAGATGTTGAGGTCTCTGGTCCTGCTGATTAATGGTCTACTCTCTTCAATTTCTGATTTTTGATTGGTTAGATAAGTTCAAATGAACTGCTTTCAATCAGTAAACAGGGTTATGAACCGAACTGTTTGCGACCGATGAATCGAAAGATTTTGGGCACCTCTTAGGAGTCCGACGAAAATGGGCGCTATCGCAACATACGGGGGCATACTCTTAGAAACTAGGCTTGAGAAGGACAGGAGCTCCACGGAAAATGAGGAAAGCTCACGTACTCTGGATTCTGTTCTCCACCACCTGAAGCCTAATCCTGTTTTTGACAAAAACATTTTTATAGCGACTTAAGCTGCATCGTAATTACGCGCTTATATGCGATAGCAATATAACAGCGTAAATTAGAGGCGCAGCGTAAACATTTATAGAAAACTGGTCCTGAAATTTATCTCTTCGTTGCGCGAAGTTTCTCTAGCGATCTTATGCATGGCATTGCTGAGAGAGACATAGCGACTTCTTTTGTTTATACTTGCAGAAAATTCGAACCAAATCAAATCTATACTTCGCAAAACAATGTAGTTTTACAGTAAGCGACATAATTTACATTGTTTATATGAATGTGGCGGAAAGGCAACATCCATCTTGAATGCACAAATAAACAATGGTACATAGAAATGGAACTGGAGAGCCTGACTCGAAAACGATGGAATTTTAGAGGTTTTTGAGTAGAAACTAGTTCTTTCATCAATAAATTTACAATAAAATCCTCGCCGACAAATGGCAAGTTGTTACTTCTAAAGCTTCAAAGATCTCCCATTATCCCGTAGCGTAATTAAAGGAATCTTGCGCGGAAAAATCATGATTCTATTTCAGCCATAAATCACTGGCTTGAGACTCATTATCCACGATAATAGTGAAAAGAACTGAAGTATTGCTTTCGTTTTGATTAGAAATTCGAAAACTCGAAAAGGCTGCTACGCGTTCGAATTGCCCACGGACGTCTTTCACGAATGCTGGCGACGGGGATGCTCAAACTTGGTTCTTGGAGTGCATTCACTAGAAGCTCTTTCTGGCCTTCTGCTTCGTTGCATTCACATCTTACACTTCTACTCCATCCTATTCCATCGATCGATTTGTCTCCACTCTCCGAAATCGCGCGCTTTAACCCGATTCTCTCATTGCGTCGCCTGGTACGTAGCCGGCCAAACGCCGTCTTCTTTCCATGCCTCGCCTGGCTCTGCCTCCTGGTCCTTCGATGGTCCATAACGTGTAGTTTTTGTACGTTTGTTTCTCTTCAGAAACCGAATCTTCATGCGTGAAACTTTGTGTGCTATTTCCAGTGATCACAACTGACATATTCATGTTAGGAAAGAGTGCAAGAATTTTCCGCGCAAGATTCCTTTAAGTGACAAAATCGTTGACCCCAGAAGCGACTTCCCCTAATGCCCGGCTTAACCCTCTTCTGATGGAAAACAGAGTGTGGCAGTAAGGAATAAACTTGACCTGACGCAATTAAATAAAATGTGAGGAATTCCCACATTCTGATACTCTCTCATGAGAAGCCGGACCTTGGAAAACCTGACTTACTTCCATACATCTTTTCCTTTGAATAACATTGCTTACCAGCTTTTTTCTGTTTCTAGTTTTGGGCAAAAACACCGTAGGCAGCCTTTGGAATAAAAAACCGCCCCCATTTTTCAGCATGTCGTCATTGAAGGTGACCCTCCGCGGAAATCTTTTCGAGTGCTTTCTTGTTCAAGCAAGGCTCAATCACTAGCAAAACACATTTCGGCGCTCGTCGTTGTCGTAGCGGCGTGGGCGTTCAAGAGGCACCACCGTCTGCCCTGCCCCGTGGATCGACTTCATTACTGAGTAAATAGATGAAAGTTATCGGGTGCACGCTGTTGCCTCCTCGTCGTCATCAAAGTGCTTGAATCAGCTGACTAGTCGGTTGAGTAACTGCCTAATTGATCTACTTGGACCGTAATGACGTCCGAAAGCACTCTAACTTGTGCAGCTCAAGAAAATGGGTCTCGACACTGGAACCTGGAGAGGTTGAGAGAGGAACGAAACCTTCGAAAGACAAATAGATACGAAATATTTAACATTGACTCAATTTTGTTTATCATTTATTTGTTTATTTATTTAGTTATTTATTTATTTAGCTAATGATGTCCCAAATGACACGCTGTAACACAAAGAAAACAGTGAATGAAGCACATACTAAGTAAGCGAACGAGACCGGATCGAAGTCAGGACATTTACTAGCGTCATCTTAGAAGTCAAAGAATAACCGTATTCGAGGAGCTTTCATTGCTCCAAAAGTCTAATTAGTCAGGGTGGGCTTGAGGTTGTCATAAGTGTATGTCCAGGTTAGGTATAAGTTCAAAAAAGACTGATAGAATTTCGAAGACTTAATTTCTCCGTCCGCCATTCGAATTTAAAGGCACATTACGCAAAAAGAGAATGTGGTTATTAGGGTCTTAGCACGGAACGGTAGATCCTAAATGCTTGATATCTGAAAAAGGAAGTGGTGGAGATCGTTCAAAACGCCTCGAATAAGAGCTTCCAAAAATCCGCCGTGCCGAGAGAACATGAATGAGAGCAAAAAGCTGAGTGAGACGAAGACATCCCCCCGTTCGGCAATCCCATTCGATTAAAGAAAGCACCGACCTAAAGCACGATTGAAGGATAAGGTTGGAGGTTGCGAAAGGGGAATATACCAGATGGAAAAGCAAGCGGTTTCCCTAAGGGTGTGGAACGGTTGCGCTCTGCAGCGGAGGGTATGCGAGCGGCCCAGGGTCGTATCCGTGCCGTTCGCACCGCCGCACTTCCAGCGATCGGCTCGCTTCTAACTCTAGCCGCTCCAGCAGGGAGAGAGCTTTAGCGTTCCTGTGGTCAGCACCAATGAGAGCGCAAATGAACTGACAACAGGGGTCTTCTCGGGTTCTGTTTTCTTCGACCTTGCATCACAGGCCACATCTCTAAAGGGTGTCTTATCATTATGAACTCCACCTCCTGTGGGCGCTCCCAAACCTTCGCCAAACCTCTACAGAGCCCTTGCCACGTATGTGCAAACTACAAAATCGGCACTAGGCTTGCAAATCAGTCTGCCTCACAAGAGACAATCCTTTTCCTAATCAAACAATCGTGAATGCGCTCTAACAGTAATGCCGTGAATATGGTTAGTCTCCGTACAATACCAGCTAGAACAGCTTAAACCTAAAAAAAACTTTACCCGGACCTTTAGAAAAGTGATAAGGGCTGCCTCAACGTATTCACGCAATTTTCATCAACACTTATCAATAAATGGGGTAGATAGAAGGTACTGCATAGAAGACCTTTAATTTTGTGAAGCTCCGTTTTTTTTAGGTTTTTTCGTCGCTAAAGGCGGAGTTCACGATTAAAAGGCAGTCCACTTGCTTTAAGGTAGGTGTAGCCAGGGATATCGGGACGAAGAAAAAATCCTCAAAAAAAGGAATCCCTCCTTCAGCTTTCGCCTTATCGTGAAATCGTCCTTTAACACATTCACGACGACGCCCCTTTTCCACTT